CCAGGGCGTTTTGAGTCTATGGCACGTCTCAGTTTCTGCAAAGTGTCTTCATAGCGCTGTGCACTGACTGTGGCCCCATGCTCGAGAAATTCGACAAGCAGAGAGCCCTTGGCAGTCGAAGAAGAACGTCATCATCACTTTATTGGAACTTGTGTGTACGGCTTTGGATTTCTTTGGTGGGGGAGTATTCATGTTTTTCCACTGTTGGCTCTGCCGTTTACTCTTGGGTTCAAGATGTTGGCACCAAGTTTCATCCCCCGTGGCAATACGGGACAGAAAAGCATACTCTTCCTCATGGTATCGTTACAAGTGACCCAGTGATGCAGCCATTCTCTGAGTCTTCTGTTCCTCCATGAGTTGATGTGGAACCCACTGTGTGCAGTACAGCAGGTGTTTTGTCACAATGGCATGTGCGGAACCGTGACTTTACCCACCTCCATTACTGATGTTGGACGACCACACATAGCCCTAACCTTACTTCCAGCACAATAAACAAACGAATAGTGTGCAAGGGCACATTGTCACTGTGCTTTCCCAAGTCCCCACCAGATGTTTGTACCATAAGCAATTCCAGTGTTACCAACTTGCATGCCGTATGAGTTATGCGTGGTGACCCGTTTTCATTTGACTGCCCCTTATACATTCAACAACTGAGAGAAGTAGTTCTTCCACCTATTCAAAATATTGAGGGAATCTGCAAGCAGATCACCATTCTGATCCTGACGTAGCTAAATAATTATTAAAATACAGTTCAAAGCTATTATAAAAGCGGTGTTCGTCAGTTTTTCATTTTGTGTAACAGCAGTTCAATGTGGCCTGTAATTACTATGACCTACTGACCCTGGGTAGCGTAGTCGGTATAGTGACTGCCATGGAAATTGTTAACAGAACAAGATTTTACACCCAATTGTATATTATTTGTATTGTTGTATTTTAACTTTTAGAACATGTACTGTAATAGTGTCTTCTAACTGTATTGATGTAAAGGTGTCCCTCTGAAGATGGTCTCTGAAGACTGAAACATGCAAGGGCATGAATAATTGAAATAAGAAAAAAAAAAAAACCTTAAACAGTCACACTGGATGGAACTATTTAACTTTTTCATAAGAATAAGATCTCTTTAAATAAAAACAAGTACAGAAAGTACAAATATTATGTTTATGGACATTATCCATCATGCTGTTTTTGTCTAGAACACTGTCTTGTTTCTGTCTATTAAACACAATGTCTATTGATTTAGACCAACTGAGTAGGTTTAACCTGAAGACAGAGACAGAATCCTGTCTCCAAAATGCTGTGTTTTTAAATGAAAATAGGATGATGGATAATGTCCTGAAACATAATATTTGTGCTAAATGTACCATTGTCACAAACTTTTATATTCTAAGCACAAAAAGATTAATAAACAATCATGCATGTTATTCTTAAAGGGGAATGCATAATGGAAGTATGACACAGTGACTGAAACATGCTCTGGAACTAATTATATCATTATACAGAAAGTTTGAGAAATGGTACTGGAAACCCTTATATAAAATATATATGTTGCTGAATTTTAAGAATACCGTGCCCTTTACACAAGTGATATTTTTAGAATGTGTTGTAACATACAAAAAAAGGATACAAGGTTATAATTAACTCCAGTGCATTTTATCTGAGTTACCAGGCAGACCATGAGAGACATACATGTAGATTGATATGTCTAGTTTTGACCTTGTGTTGCACAATATCCCCATTTAACATTTGATTTGGCTCACTGCCCGAGGCATTCATACCAGGAAACTGAACCCACCCACATATGTGAATGAGATTCTTCTCTCTCCCTCCAAATATCTCTCACTTTAAACTGAATCCATGCATACTAGTGTTTTCACAAGAGGAACTACCCTGTGTGCAGTAGATAGTGTAAAGGAAAGTCATTTGTATGACTCGGTTACTATCAGTGCAGAGGGCAGGCACCCAAACTCTTGATAATTCTGCTTCATGTAGTGTAACATCATTTATTTCAAGAGTTCTCTCTATATAACAGACATGGCCAAACTGTGGCTCATGAGCTGCATGCATTTCTCTTGAACTGCTGGTGTGACTTGCAGAAAGTAATATTAGTCGATTTGTTACAAATTTATTGAATGTAAATTGTCAGCTGCATGGAAAGTACATACCTAAACACCTATGCCATCCAGTCCTTCTCTGTTTTGGGCTCTTGAACTTCTGAAAATTGTCATGTGTGACACCAATGTTCAGTAAGTTTGGCCATTTGACATCTCAACAGTTTGAATTTATTTTGTATTAGCTACTTATTCATTGGATAAGAGGATTGATGGTCTTCAGAACTAATCTGGACTCTGTGGTGAATTTCCAACAGCAGTCTAACCATGAGTCAAAATTACATTCACTACGGTACACTATATATATGCTTTCATTCATAATAAATTAATTATAATTGTCATAAAAAGTACATCCACAATTTAGCATAATTTTAAAAGAAGTTCTTTGCTGGGGTGAGCCATAGGCAATAGTCCAGATAACAGCTGTTGGTAATAACCTCACATTTGCATCAGAGAGACATGCAGGCAGAGCTGAATATAAATGGCTGGAGTTTGAGGCAATGTTACATGATCCTAATGACATCATAAAAATTTCCAGGTAATTTACTTCATTACATGTTGTGTATTTTAGTATGTTCAACAGGTAATTCAGGAGGTGTAGGGACAGGCTACAAACTGGATGGCTGAAATTTTTGGTTTTATTCCCGGTAGGGGAAAGAGATTTTTCTCTTCCTCATGGCATCTAGACTGGCTGTAGGGCCCAACCTGCCTCCTGTCTCTTGGGTACTGGGGTAACTTTCCCTGGGGAGTAAAGTGGCAGGGGCTTGAAGCTGACCACTAACCTCCATCTAGTGCCAAGGTTAAGAATGGTGGAGCTATGCCACCACTCCTCCATATGTCTTCATGTTGTGATGCTTAATTAAGCACTCAGAAAACTTTATATATGCCTTTATCAATAGAGATTTTCATGTCCTAGGTAATATTTCCTGTGTATGCTAATAATACAGTTTATTGTAACATGAAGACCAAGCTCTTGTCATGTAACATGGATAACAGTGACCCTGACTGACTAGTTAAATGAAACAGCACAATAATTTGCACATGTGTATAGTTGAAACAAGCCAACTGGGATAAATTAAGGCATGTTTAAACATGAGAGTTTTAATAAGATAATAATAGTGTGAAAAATAATTATTTTTTGGCAACAACATCAAATGTATGCAAACTAAGAAACTTTATTTTTGAAATTTCAAGATTTTATTAATGTCAACAGTTAATGCAATATGCCACCAGAATATTGTCTTTCAATAACTAGAATAGCCAGTGGATTGTTGTACATACCTAGGAACCAGGCATTTGTGCAGTCATATAGTGGGTAAATCTAAAAATCATTGAACATTATACAGCTTGTTAGAGAAATCATAATATTCGAAAATCCCTTGCCGCTAATGGTATCACCTAAACATGTTTTTGTAAATGGAAGCAGTCAGCAATGTAGCCAGAAAAACTCTAATCGAGGTTGCTCTTATGTCCTTAAGGACCACAACAGGGTAATTACAGAATGGTGGTTTCAAAAGCAACCCAGAGGATGTTGCTGAAATATTTCATCATAGGAATGTAGGCCAGCTTGGCTAACATAAAACTATCTACCTAGTGTAAGAACACTGAAGCAGTGATCAGGACTCCTGGAGTTTCCATAATCACACTTCCGTAGAGACCACAGTTAATCTGAGTGATGGCAGCTATCAGTAACACATGTTACATTAGCATACACACCGTCTCCTCTCTCCACCTCCCTCTAATCCTTGAAAGGAACACAAGTCCAGAGTGCCCTTTTGAGAAGCCCACAGCTATGAGGGTGGAGAACAGTGCAGAGCAGGATTTATGGACATGTGGGATGGAGTCTGCTCAGCAACCAGAGTACGGCTTAGTTCAGGTGCATACATGCCTGTGGTAACCCCATTTACTACCCATCTAACTGCCATAGTCACCACATTTACTGGAGTGACTTGCAGTGGTACAGGTGCAGTTCATAAAATTCCAGTCGCATTTGGAGCTAGGGATAATTTTCAGTTCCAATATTTTTTATGTGTCATCTAGTAACAATTTCCTGCTTCTTCTTGATCTGAAATCAGTGCTTGAGGAGAAAGAACATGTGGTAAAATATTGTGCAGCACCTTTCTTGAGGCCCAAAATCATAACAATCCTTCTACCTCTAAATGGGCAAAAAATCATCTTAGTAGTCTTATATATGCCAACCTTATGCCTCCCCTTTCTCCATTTTATATAATTATGAATGGTAAGTTTGACCCAAAGTGAAAAGGAAAACTGTAAAGCATACTGACACCCATTTTCTTCCTTTGTTTTTGTGATCAATCAAATAAGTTAACCCAACATTCCGATCAACACAAGGACAAGTTTCCAAACAATTTTTAGCATCTCTTCACAGTTCATCAATCTCAAATTATTCATAGGACAAGTGGGCTCTTTTCTTTTTGAATTTTCAAACTCAGGAGCTTAGTTTCTCACTTGCTTAAATTGCCACATCCCCCCATTTTTATGCACTGCTCTAATATTTAATTAAGCTAATGCATGTTATTTATTCTTTCCATCCTTCCTTGGTCTACCATTTGAATGTAGTGGAGGGTTAATTAGTAGCTCAGTATGGACCGACCTCCCACAGTCCCAACCACATCCTAAACTCTGCAGCTCACTTCAAGCCCTTCAAGCATGCCCCTAAGAGCGGTGGAGCAGGATTTGGGACGCTTAATATCCTTGATATGCTTCTTATCGCTTGGGGTACGATAAAGTTTTTCGATTGATTAATTTTTCATACACGTGTTCAGTACACTCGAACCGCTCGAACCGACCAACGAATGAAAGTTTGCTGCACTGATTTTGAGAATGTTTCTGCATGGTATCGAGATCCTCATTGTCCTAACATAATATTTTAAAGTTGTCATAACTTATGAAATCAACAATAGCAAAGGCCTCGTCAACAGATAGCTATGTTACAAACGGTTACCATGGAAAGTGAAGATTTTCTTTAAACGTTTTATTAGACGGTTATCATGGAAACTGTAGATAAATAATTCCATTTTGGATTACTTATTATGATGCATGCAAGTATTTGAATCTTTAGATTTTCACAGCTGTTTTTAAAACATTTAAAAAAATAGTTTCAGTTCTCTGTCTTGTCTAGTCATCATTTTCATTAAGATGACGTCACCAATATTCCAGTTCGTGCGAAGAATACGCCCAGTCAGTCGGTTGCCAAGTAATGGTGTGTGAGGTGTGAAATTGTGAGGCAGATCGCATTTTCAGTATAGCCTGACAACTGTGAGCAGTGCACACGTGTAAAAATGTTCAGCTGGCTTAATCGAGAAGAAAACAGGAAAACACCTGAAGTGTTTGAGAATGTTGTGGAAGGGCTCAAAAAAGTTTATAAAACTAAGTTACTTCCCTTGGAACAGTTCTACCAGTTTCATGACTTTCATTCACCGATGTTGAATGATCCAGATTTCGATGCAAAACCCATGATACTGCTTGTTGGCCAATATTCTACAGGGAAAACAACATTTATTAAGTATTTACTGGAACAGGATTTCCCAGGAATACGAATTGGTCCAGAACCAACTACAGATCGGTTCATTGCGGTTATGTATGATGATAAAGAGGGTGTGATTCCAGGAAATGCTTTAGTAGTAGATCCCAAGAAACAGTTTCGACCTCTAACAAAGTTTGGGAATGCTTTTCTTAATCGCTTTCAGTGTTCATTAGTAAATTCCCCAGTACTTAAGGGTATGTCAATTGTTGACACTCCAGGTATTTTGTCTGGTGAAAAGCAACGTGTAGATAGAGGATATGATTTCACCGGTGTTTTGGAGTGGTTTGCAGAACGTGTGGATAGAATTATTCTGTTATTTGATGCACATAAACTTGACATTTCTGATGAATTCAGAAGGTCCATAGAAGCTCTGCGGGGACATGATGATAAAATCCGTATTGTCCTTAATAAAGCCGATATGGTAGATCACCAGCAGCTTATGAGAGTTTATGGTGCATTAATGTGGTCTCTAGGAAAAGTACTACAAACTCCAGAAGTGGCACGTGTGTACATTGGTTCATTTTGGGATCAGCCTCTCAGATATGATGTAAACAGGAGGTAAGTTGTAAATTTATGTTATGTGACGTGAGAAACTCATTGCTCTAATAAAGCAACTAAAGTCCAAAAAGTTAACTCTTGTATTGAACTGATGAGTATTTAATGTTTGGTAGGTTATTTGAAGATGAAGAGCAAGATTTATTCAAAGATATGCAGTCACTCCCAAGGAATGCTGCTCTGCGGAAGTTGAATGATCTAATCAAAAGGGCTCGATTAGCCAAGGTAATACAAAAATTTAACTCAAACAGATTATGAATCTGCCTACTATTCTTCCATGTTGCTATCCCCTTCACCCAATACCTTTCAACTCTTCCCATTCTTGTTACATAGTGCCACACATGGGGTAAACTCGCTTGGTTGTATTGTTCAGTAAGGTGTGAAAGTTAAGAATTATTAGAGGATTCTTTTTTATACATATTAGGTGAAGACTGACTGCTTTCTGTACTTAAAAATATAAAACGCATATGAGATCACCCTGCTCTGTGTGTGCACCATACAATGGGAACAAAATTTGCTATGCCAAAGGTCTTATTGAATTCATAGGACTTTTGTTCCATATGATTTCAGACAGACAGTTGTGAAGTCAGGCCATGACCACTTCCATTCACATCCTTTTCAATTTATTCACTAACATCCTGTCATGTAATATTATATAATCAAAGATATTCAAAATCTTGTTAAATAAACCATAAATGTATTAAGTAAGTTAGTTTATTAGAAATTGTCAATGTGATTGGCCGATAAATTATCTGGGGACATTCTGTTCCCTGAAAACTCCCTAAGAAATTACAAATATGGTGTGAAGCACTGAGATTACACATCACTACTTTTAACTAATCAGTCTGTATTAGTGGAGATCCTGTGTTTTAAGTGGGTCCTTTCTCACCGCTGCATGGTGCATATTCGGTTATCAGATGGAGGGGATGGCCTCCAGATATGGAGGGTAGTTGCGAATATATTGATAAGCAGTCACAGACAGCCGACAGGAGGTTGTCCTCCGTCTTGGAGGTTTGGGCTTGGTGCTAACAACTGCTCAGCATAAAAAATAAGTTTTTTATGAAATGTTACAAAGGGACTGGGACTTCGAGGGCTCTCACAACACAGTAATGAACCTTCATGTTCTATAAAATGTTGGGAAATTCTTGAGTAGCTGTGCAACTGGTGGCTTCTCAAGAAGGGCTTAGTTCCATGCAGTTAACTATTACTGGAAATACTGCTACTATGAAGAGTACTGCCTTCTGGGATGTGATGCCGTGCAGTCTGGTAGAAGGTACTAACCTTCATGGCCACCACCGTGAGAATTTCAAATCTAATGCTGCTGTAGTTTGCCTGATTAAAACATCTTGAATAAGCAGCCTTACAGAAGGAATGTCCTCTGTGTTGAAGGAGATCTTCAGTATAGTGATTTTGCATCCTATTTGGAATAACTGGGTTTTTAGACAATGGACGAAGTCCAAAACCCCAGTAATTCTGAGTGTTGTGCACTGTTGTCAGAACCCTCTGGAATCTACTTGGTTCCTATTGTATGCTGAAAATAGAATCTGGTAACTTCCTAATGATGATATAATTATCTACCTCATTATGCAATAATGATGAACCCTCATCTGTGTTTTAGACAGTGTATGCTGCTAATTTGTCATTTATCAGTGTGTTAGAATTTTATTACTTTCATTGTCTCAAGTAACTAGTTCATCTCCAGGAAAGTGTGTGTTTATGTATATATTACGTAACTTTTATATAAAAGAGTTATCAAAATGGTGTATCTTAAGAAAACTCATTTGAAATGTCAATTGAAATACCAGCATGTGACAACCAAAATGATCCCTTTACGTTAGATTATGGTTTCTTAGTTCCTGGAACAAAAGACTACCATACGAAACATTACTCATGTTGGTGGCATATTTACTCATTATTACCAATCCACTAATTTCTCCACGTGAGATAAGCTATTATTTCTCGGGTATGTGGATGTGAAGGTCACCAACAGAAATGTGTGAAATTGAAAAAGTAAAAGAAATTCTGTCTTTCCAGTTGGATGCTGTAATGCTGCATAGTCAGTGATTGACCACAGCCAGCTTTCAGTCCATTTCTCTACTTTCACACTTTTATCTTCTGAACTGCTGTCCACTTCTGGTGAACTAATGGGTTGTCCAGACTTCCTGCTAACCACTTCAGCAGCTTTAGCCATTATAAATCACGTAAAAGGCAGTGATAATGCCACTGAATGTTGTGGCCAAGTATTTGCAGATTATTTGTATTCTGAGAGGTCCTTAGTTCAGATTTTATCTCAGAGATTGGCCCTCCTGACTGAGGCTTTTCAGCAAACATGTCAGCTTTTCAATTCAATTCAATTCATTTTATTTCATCCATAGCTGTAGAAATTACAATTGGACATGTCAGATAACAACAACATTACATCAAGCATAACATTCAAAGTACATGAATATAGAATAATAAATAATAAATACCTAAGACTAGAGAAAATATTTAAAACATATATACAGATTGTTTACAACATACAAACAGACTATTTAAAACATATTCCTGTACATATAAATAATTTATCTAAAACAGATTTATTTGTCAGCAAGCAGTCCATATCAACAGTTGTTAAAAAATTCCTGAAGAGAATAAAAGACGTTACACAACAAATAAGTTTTATCATCTTTTTAAAAACATTAAAATTATTTACACTTTTTAGTTCAGTCGGTAGGCCATTAAATATTTTGGTTCCCATACCAATCACCCCTCTTTTGCAGCGCTCAGTATTGCAAAATTGAACATACAGATTGTGTTTATGAATAGTATTATAGCCATGTACGTCAGAATACTGGGTAGTATATATCCTATTTTTTATTATAAAACATAAAATCTCAAATATATATAAGGAAGTAACNTTGTTTATCCAGTGGCGGGCTCTAGTGATCAAAGTAACGAATCTCTGGGTTCAATTAAAAAGGGGGAGGGGGAGTATTGAATGTCTAAACTACTGTTACCTTTGGAACAAGGACTCTGCTCTTTGGACTTATACCAAGGCCATGGAAAGAAGTATCATCAGTCTGCCCTTCCGTATATCCCTCAAGCTGGTATATTTCCCCTCCTCTCAATTTGTCCGCCCATTCTGGTCACAGGAATGTTGGTAGTGATAGCTTTCACTGGCAAGAAGCGCTTGTGGCTGATTCACACAGAATAAAGGAGTTGGAGAAGAATACAGCAGTTTTCAGAGAAGGGGAAGCCCAAAGTGCCGTTATCCCCTCCATCCATGGGACTTTTTCCATGGCCTCATTGTATTTAGGATACTTCATTCTTGGTTTGTTTAATGACAGTTTGTTAGCTTACTTCTTGGCCGTAGTGCCCTCTAAGGACCTTGGCCTTCATTGGGACAAATACGTATTCTTCATTATTAGTGTCTTGCCTCCCATATATTCACTTCCAGCTGTCATAAATCACTTTCTGTGTCTTTAAGCCATCTCATTCTGGGCGTTCCCATTTCCTTTAACTTTCTGACTTAACTTTCAAAAAAATTCATAGCCATGTTTGTTTGATCCATTTTAATCACATGCCCTCACCTTTTCAACATTCTTTTAATGTGTGATACCAGATTATGATAGTGGGACTTGGCTGAGAGTTTAATCCAAGACCTATTGAATGTGAAGCAGGGCCACTCAGCAGTGACATTTGTAACCACAGAATATTAACAGAGGCTGCTTGTTTCACAGGTTCATGCATACATCATTAGTGCTTTGAGGAAGGACATGCCATCAATGTTCGGCAAAGACGGCAAGAAAAAGGAGCTGATTAAGAACTTGGGACAGATTTATGATCAGCTACAGCGGGAACACCAGATCTCACCTGGGGACTTCCCAGAAATGAAAAAAATGCAGGAATACCTTGTTCACCATGACTTCACCAAATTCCATCCACTGAAGCCACGCCTGCTGGAGGTGGTGGACAAAATGTTGGCAGAGGACATTGCTCGACTCATGGCCATGATTCCTCATGAAGAAGTCCACATTGTGTCAGAACCACTTGTGAAAGGTTGGAAATAATTATGTTAAATGGTGCACTGTATGCTGGGGAAACAAGAAATGCACACCAAATTTTAGGCTGAAGAAGGAAGAGACCATTTTGGAGACTTAAATGTAACTGGGTAGATATTATTAACAAGAAAGTTAAGGGCAATAAGATGTCCATTGGATTTATGTGGCTCAGGATAAGATATATTGGTGTGAATCAACAAATTCCATGGTCATCCTGTTTACAGTGGATTTGCTGTTGCATGTTCCTCAGTTTAAGGTCATATTCTGTTAAATTCCAGTACCCTTGTTAATAAACTCAGTGTTATATTACCTCCATTAAGATTTTAATCAGTTTGGTGTTCAGATCCATTGGTCTCCCAGTCAGAATTTAAATGGGAGTTTCACTGTATCTTCATCTCAAGAAGGGCTTTGTAGTATGTAATTAGTTATGGCTATTCAAAGACATCCATTCTTTTATGGAGGACAGTAGTTGGAAAAATTGTTTAAGAACTTATTAATGGGTGATCAAAGCAAGTTGAGATCCTTACTGACATGTTGTCTACATGTTAGTGTTGCTGATCTTGGAAGTTTATATGTAAAATCAAAATCCAAAGCCTTACCTTAGAAGGTTTTAGACATTTCTTTCAAAAAGACAAAACCACTAGTCCAAGCCTTATGGGCTTGTTATAGGCAAATTGTAAAGTTGGACTTCGGGTCTTATTTTTACAAGTAAATGTCTACAGTTGGCAGTACTGACTTGGGGGTTGCAGATACATAAGTATGGTCCTTTCTACTTTTAACGCATTCAAGCCTAATCACATTTATACTTCGGAAGGGTTGGGGGTGGAATGTGCAAACCTATACTGTTGACATTCGTGTGGTTGGAGCCATTTGCTGACCATGGCACTGACTATAAAGATCAATGTAAGCTTGGTGCTACATTTGCAGTTTCCAGTTGTGTGCATTTAACCAAGTATTGTTATTTGGGAAATTTGTAACTTATGCCTGAATATATAATAATCAGGGGTTGAAATGGGGCTTCAGAAGTAGGTACCCACACAAGCATCAGCTGAAAATCCCAGGGAATAATGAATATGTATTACTGCATATATGGTGCATTTTCAGTGGATCTTAGAGAGATTGGATGTGGTGGTATGGACTGGATTGATCTGGCTTAGGAAAGGGACCATTGGAGGGTTCCTTTAGGTTCCATAAAATGCTAGGAAATTCTTGAATAGCTGCACAGCTGGTGACTTCTCAAGAAGGGCTCAGCTCCATGTGGTTAGTTCATAGTGTATTTTCTGTTGTTAACTGTAGGGGATCCATTCCTACACATCCTCATTGCTAGGAAGAGCTTTAAACACTGGAAATAGCTTCATAAGGAAAGAGCTCTGGAACTAGGTATATTGCGTCTACTCCCAGTTCCAGGCCTGGTTGTGATATATATATATATATGTTCACAGCAGTAGGTGACACTGGGAGGTATCCTGAGTTCGTATTTCAGTATTTACTTTTACTGAACAGCTTCATAGGTGTCACTAAATAATATTATTGTTTAGTGCATATTTTTACTCAGTTAAGTGTACTATCTCGATACTATATAAATGCTTCTCCAGAAAATCTCACATTCATAGTGTCCATACTCAGTGAAATTGTAATTTCAGAGTGGCCCTTAAGGGTTTCATGGTAGGTCAGTTCATTTTTATATGAGGTACCATCAATATGGAGCTGCCAAAGTTGAACTCTGAGTTCTATCGAGAATTGTTGTCAGCCTTCTCTAGTCATGGTAGCAATCTTTAGTGCCTGTGTTTAAAAAGTCACTACCCGTGTTATCAAAATAGGTGATTGTGAAGGTATAGAATTTTATACTATTTTTCTGTGATAAAAATATTTCCAAAATATCACAAAATTTGTATATTTTATATTTAAGTAGAATACAAACTGTAGCATACAACTGAATAACATCAAGTTTTGTAGCTGTTCTTATATGTACTGTGTGTGTGGGGTAGGTGGAGCATTTGAAGGAGTTGAAGATTCTGTGAGTCCATTTGGCTACAGACGAGGTGAGGGCGTTGATGCAGGGTCTGGTGAGCCAGAGTGGATAGTCAGCAAGGAAAGATACAAGTATGATGCCCTCTTTGACACACTCAACCCTGTAGATGGGAAAGTCACTGGAGCAGGTAAATTACACATCCAGTTTTGTTAAACTTTCTTCACCCTGTTTTGGGGTTCCGGTATGCATATACACATATGTACTTTTAGCAGATTAGTTATGCTGGGAAGCTCCCATAATGAAGCATTGCCTGGAAATACAGAAATAAGCAAAGAGTCAGTATTCTTTACACTGTTCTCCTTACTCCTGTGATTCATTCAGGAATGCTGTCCCAGGCTACCCCTCCATATCGATACCATTTTTTTTCCCCAATTCACCTTATTCTTCTGATGTGAAAGTGGAAGTAGGATATTCCACTGAAATATTAGTAACCATCTACCAGACTATGTGACATTAGAACCCACAGAGCAGTATTTCATATTCCGTGCACATAAGAATACAAGATGGGAAATGTATGCAAAGCATACTAGTGTGTTCACTCACTTTTGCTTTATCATCTACTTATTGTATCCTTTTCAGCCTTGAACCATGTTTCATATCTGTACATTGTAACTGTTTTTAACATTGTTTTATATAATTTGTGACCGGCTCTGTAGTCTAGTTGTGAGCGTTCCTGGCTACAGATCCATTCCCGGCACTACCAGATTTTTTCGGAGTAGTAGTGGGTCTGGAATGGGGTCCACTCATCCTTGTGATGATAATTGAGGAGCTATTTCAAAGAAACAGCAGCTCCGGTCTAGAGAACCGAAATTAACAGCTGTGGGGTTTTGTTGTGCTGACTACGCGACACTCTTTATCCGCAAAAGTTGGCACTAAACTTTGCCGACAAGCGGCGGTCGCTCGGTCAGTATGGTTCACTTGCAGGCTGAAATCACGGAGTTTTTTTTTTTTTTCCATAATTTGTGAGCCTGGATAGCTCAGACAGTATAGTGATGGGCTACAAGTTGGACAGCTAGGGTTCAATCCCCAAACAGGGACAAGAGATTTTTCTCTTGCTTATAGTGTCCAGACTGCCTGTGGGGTCCACCCAGCCTCCTATCCAGTGGGTACTGGGGTCATTTTCTTCAGCGATGAAGTGGCTGGGGCATGAAGCTAACCACTCACCTTCTAGTTTGAGGTCAAGAATAGTGGAGCTATACCTCCACTTCCCCATGCATATTCAAGGCATGGTGCTTAATTAATTAAGCACAAGGCAGCTCTACCTTTACCTTTGTATACTATAATTTTTGATATGTGAAAAATAACAGTTTACACAAAATTTTGGCATAGAATCTTTCTCAGTTTTAAAAAGTCTTGGTAATTGTTACCTCCTAGGGCTAATGTTATATATACTTTTATTCGTAAATTTATGTCACTCTTTTCTTATATTTCAGCCGCTAAGAGTGAGATGGTGAAGTCGAAGCTTCCGAACTCAGTGCTTGGAAAGATTTGGAAGTTGTCCGACATTGACAAGGATGGTTTCCTGGATGCAGATGAGTTTGCGTTGGCTATGCATCTTATTAACGTCAAGTTGGATGGGCATGATCTTCCATCTGAACTTCCAGATCACCTCATACCACCTTCCAAACGAGACCTGTAACACACACTACCTTCTGTTAACTTTAAATTATTTGTATACACTCGTACCTAGGCACAATTGGTCCTGTAATATCAGCATTGTCTTCATTGTCTTATTACCTGCTGAAGGCATAGGTACCAGAAATTATGTTGGTATGTCAGTTTAGATGTACAGTCTTTTAAAAACCGGAAAGAGTATTTTTCTTGTATGTTATATGTATTTGCTGTGTTTATTCTTTTATGTTATATGTATTTACCATGTTAATAATTGTATGACATTTTGTGTGATATTTGAACGTGCAGTGTTCTGATATACTTGGATATATCATATTAGAATTGAAAACCCATTACAGTGATCTTAAGGGGTAAATTTTGAAGTTTCCCACAACATTTATATGGATTTTGGAGTTAATTTATGTTCCGTACTGTGTCTTGGCTGTAATTGAAGCATTAATCATTTTTGTTTCTACATTAGATTACAGTGCTTTCCATTGTGGTCAGATATTTTGGCTTCTAAATGTTAAAAAGTGTATTTACAGCTGTACAGATTCATGAATTTTTGGTGAATATGAAATAAATACACAGTTTTCAAACTGTTATTTAAGCATTTTGTCAATTTTTAACAATTAGTCAGGATCCTGAAAACTAAGGGTCACATTACTGAACAGGCTGGAAACCCAGTTGAGTTCAGTTCTGTTCAGCATTATCATGGCTGTAGCACAGATATGTGAACACTGATTTTGGCATTGGTGAATACCGAGTTTTGAGTTGAAGTTGGATCATGTTTGAAATAATGGAGTTAATCTCTTCATTGGTGTTCCCAGAATATTTCCATGATTCACTGTTGTTTCTGCTCAATATATCCCAGAAAACTTGCGTGTTCAGGGTGTGGCTGTATGTGTTATATCCTGATATTTCTGTGGTCTGATAGTTGTGGCATGTAGTTCTTATATTTGTCAGAAGATTGTAGCACCATATGGCATTGTTTACCATGGTTTTCTGAATGGATTANTTTTTTTGTGTGTTTGTAATCTGGAGAACACAGACTCAAATTAAGTTCACCAGTGAAGGGTTTAAGTATTCATGAATATGTAAGTGGAAGAACTGAGCCATGTTTGGGATGAATACACAAACAAATATAACATCTGTTTTAAGAATGCTTTAATTGGGATGGAAAGTTAGCAGACTAACTGTCAAAGTCTCCTACAAAATGGTCTGGCATTGATGTTATCACATCTGAAATGATGTCAATGTTTGATATATGAATTTTTTTTTAGAACTTTTCAACTTGAAATGTTTGCTCACCACTCATTTGTAATGTTATCTTCTTCTCTTTATGGCATAGGCACTGATGCCAGTTGCAGCCTCAAAGGTCACTCCGCCTTTTCCTTGGTCTTCCTTGCTTTTGGGGGGCTTCAGATTTATATTTTAACACAGTTTTGGAAACATCTACATTTTCTAGTGTTTAAAATTATGGGGCATTAAAGTTTGATTTCATGAGTGGTATTGGCAAATGTAGGACCAATGGATCTGACCTCACAATAGATGTGATGGTTCTGCATTTGTTTCTTGCAGCTTGGGAAAATCTCTTCCAGATCCATTTTTAGTAAGAAAGTGATAATATTGGCAGAGTAAAGTGAATTGCTGGAATATGATTTCATTGGATTGTTTTATTGTGCACTGCAGAATTATCTGTTATGCCCTTCAACAGCTGCATAAATTGGGTGGTGATGGCCAGTGTAAGAGAGACAGAGGAGGGCGATGTAGCAGCGAAGGAAGAGATTCTTCACAAAGGTGGAAGTGGAATCTTGTAGTATACATATTTTCTGAGGCTTTAAATTCATTGGTCACACAGTATTTATGTCCTATTATGAGGGTGAAATCCTCTGATTATAAACTTTTGAAGTTCTTGCAAGATAACTATGTGTATGTAGCATATCTATGGCCTTATAGATTGTGATGTTTCTTTACTCAGTAGAGGTGAGATAAAATAGTTTTATCAGGAAACAGCTCTGATAACTCAGACTGATATTGGCATTTATACTCTGATTTATATTACATATGTTGTATAATGAAAGGGACCTTTCAATGTGTGCTGTAATTTTGTGTTCCATGATTACAGCAAAATCCCCATTTAAGGTGTCTTTAGGGACCTGTGGATTTGAATGCTAAACTGAAAAAAAATCTTAAATGGAAGTAATTTAACACTGAGATTATTGACTTGGGATCATTGAAATTAAATGAGAGAATATTGTAAATTAAGGCTTACAAAATTGTGAATCCATTGTAATTAGACTGATTACAACAGGAAAGAAATGGAGCCATAATCTGTATACACTGGAACCCCATTCAGCGTTCCTCAGTTTAACATTTCCTCTCATTTAACGTTCAATTTCAGTCATCCCAAGTCATTAACCTCAGTGTTAAAATTCCATCATTTTACAATTTGCAGAATTTAGGCGTTCAAGTGCACTATTTCCCAAAGAAACCTTAAATGGGGGGTTGCACTGTAGGATTTTCTAATGAAACCAAATGCACAATATATAGTAATATTGTAATATTGGAATTATAAACATTTTGAATTAATTTTTTAATATGTGTACTACAAAGTAAATATAATTGTTCCATTCCATGTACAAAAATATGTCAGTTAATACAAGTGTGTGATGTGAATGGTAATTTCACCTGTGTCATATGTAACTAGACAGTCCTTAGAATGCTCAAAATTTTCTTCAATTTTGAAGTCCTGTATTATTTAAAAGGGCTGTTTTGTTATGCACTTAGAAGTAACCCTTTCCATCAATGTCTGTTCAAACTGGCTTCATTGTAACGATAGGTTACATGCATAAGTAATATATAAAAACATGAAGTTCAGTCTTGTGCCAGCAGATAGTCAGGATAAACAGACTAAGGAAGCATTCCATATTCAAAGGGGCTATTTCCTTTGCATTGTTCTGTTACTCCTGATATGCTTAGGGTCCTAGTCCTTCCTCTCCAGGCAAACCTATCCACACCACAGGGACCAAGTCCCTGAAAGAACCAATTGGACAAAGCAGAATAATGTGAAGAATATTATCCCTTTAGATGGATGTTGTTTCCTTACTGTTTCTCCTAACTTCCTTCTGCCTCCCATTGGTTCAGCCAGTCTGTATTTCTCCATTTACTCTGTCTTTGGAAAATAGTTCTTTAAAGGGCTGATGTTCCTCACTTAGGTCTATTGTTTGTTCACTCAGTTCCCCAGTCATGCCTCTCCCTACATGTTTTCCATGCTTGGCATACTCTTCAGTCATGAAAGCAGGAGGTTCTTCTGAAACACTGGGAATAGTGTGCAAGAAGACATAGCATCACGTCTTAATAGACTGTGATTTCCATAGTCATTGCCATTAGAACCTCAGAATTCACACAAGTTTCAAAGCCTTTGGACATTTAAAGCATATGGTATACGTAGTTACCACTGTTCATTAGAGGGTTAATGTTATATGAAACTTAAAAGTTTTATACAGATTTCAATAGTGCCTTTAAATATGCCATACCTGTTTCCTCCTTGAACCTTCCTGATCCACCATTAAAAATTACCCTTGCATCTCTAAAGTCTGTACAGATCTTATGAAACACTACCTGCAGTTCATAAATATTTTAAGTAACAGCCCTCCCATGCTGTTTGCTGGATTAGCACAGGTTATGCCCTCTGTATAATAAATAAAGTATACAATGTTGTAACAGTGAGAGATTCATACCAAAGACTACTACTAAATCAGAAGTGTATAATTTGTTATATCCAAGGTATGGTAAGAAAATTGTTTGCGATGCAGTTTAATAATGATGTTTGTTCATTATGAACATTCTGTATCATTCTGTGGTGAATTATATTTGCAAGCACTTTATATCATGTAGATGGAGTTCAGTAGTACATCTGCCCATATTTACTGTTACAGTTCATAATATTCACATAAATATTTGAGACTTCAACCCTCTTATTGCCATATCTAATGACACACAAGAACTGCTAGACTGTTTTATTGCAAACATTGACATTAAAAGGGACCTTGCTGCAGAAGATAAGTAAAAAGTAAAGTAAAGGTATCCCTGTAACAGGCCATGGAGGCCCATAGGGTTGTGAGATGTTGAGGTTCCCACATTTTCTAGACAGTTGGCTCAGAGATGGCGGCAAGGTTGTCAGCCCTACGCGCTGGCCACCCTTTACCCCCAAGAATATTCCTGATAGTCATTTCTGTTATAGGCTGTTGACCCCAGGGCCATAGGGGGGCTGGAAGGATTAGGTCAAGCAGAAAGTATTAAGCATAAAGATTATTATTCATTGCTGTACCATTTCTATATAAATTACATGCAGTAGCAGATGAGGCTTCAAGCATCAGTCAGATCAGATCATGGCAGGCATGGCACAGCCTGCCACATTAGGTCCATTTATTTCAAGGCAAATGGAGGGTTAAAGTTAAGTTAATAGGAATGGTGCTGTAGCTTCACTGTGAAGAAAAAGTGTGTTTGACATATTTTTTCACTGATTATGAATGATAAAAGTATGTCTGAAAATCAGCATTATAATATAGAGGCAGAAATAAAGTTATGTTCCTACAGGTAGGTGGAATGTAGTTCTTGTTTGTTTAAAATGTCGCATAAAAATAATAGCGTCTTTTATCCATTGTAGACATGACATTACATACTGATGTGTAATTTTAAATTTGGAAAATTTATTGTAAAATTGTGCAATTATTATTTTCTGTTAATTAAATGAGAATATTTTATGAAAATTATTTTTTTTTCTGATTATGGATGTGCATTTTTATGTTTTTACCACTTGTCCAAATGAAAACTTAGTTAAATATAAGATATGCCACATTATCATACAACTGTCAACACAACAAATGTGTAATAAATAATCAGTATTATTATATTGTTACTTGTTCAATAATGAGTAGTAAATTTCATTAAAAATTGCCTGATAATGATCCAGCTGGATCGTAACATGTAGAAAATGCACGTAATAAAATGAATGGCAGTGCAAGAACATTGGTTATTTATTATGAATGTGTCATGTTGATGGTTGTATAATACTATATATAATACACAGTAGGATGCAAACAATAAAAGTAAGATTTGGCAGAAATTTAGAAGGAAAGCCCTGTTATGCATTCACAGACTTTAAGCAGAATATTCCAGGAAGATGTGTGTGTCTTATATATTGAAAAATATTAGTTGAATTTTCCAGGAGGATTGTTAATAACTATAGTAAGCCCACTGTAAACAAATATTTTTAATGCTCATGAGAGAATAATACAATATTTTGTATATTGTTAATCATAATTCAGCTGTTGGTCTATGCCGATGATGTGAACTACTGGGTGATAATGTAGATACCATAAAGAAAAACACACAAACTTTAATTGACACAAGTAAAGAGGTTGGTCTAGAAGTAAACACAGAGAAAACTAAGTATATGTTACTGTCTTGTCACCAAAATGCAGAGCAAAATCATGACATAAAGATAGGAAACAGATGTTTTGAAAATGTGGCACAGTTCAGATATTTGGGAACAATGATAACAGATCAAAACCTGATTCAGGAGGAAATTAAGAGGCGATTGAACTCGGGTAATGCTTGCTACCATTCAGTCCAGAACCTTTTGTCTTCTCATCTGCTGTCCAAAAACATACAAATTAGAATATATGAGTACAGAATTATGATTTTGCCTGTGGTTCTGTATGGGTGTGAAACTTCATCTCTGACATTAAGGGAGGAACATAGACTGAGGGTGTTTGAGAACGGTGTTGAGAATATTTGGACCGAAGAGAGATGAAGTGACAGGAGGTTAGAGAAAACTGCATAATGAGGAGCTTCATAACTTGTACTCTTCTCCAAGTATAATTAGAATGATCAAGTCGAGGAGGCTGAGATGGGCAGGTCATGTAGCTCGAATGGGGGAAATGAGGAATGCGTATAGGATATTGGTGGGAAAGCCAGAAGGAAAGAGACCACAGGGAAGACCAAGGCGTAGGTGGGTGGACAATATTAAAATGGATCTTAGAGAGATAGGATGGGATGGTATTGATTAGATAGATCTGGTTCAGGATAGGGACCATTGGAGGGCTCTTGTGAACACGGTAATGAACCTTCGGGTTCCATAAAATGCTGGGAAATTCTTACTCTCATTATTCTGCATTTTTCAAATTCTCTTCCACCCCTAGGGGTGTTTGAAAATAACATAATGGTACTTTCCCAAGAAAATGAGGAAACCAACAGGGAAAATTTCCGTACCATTATTCTCAAGACCAAGATTCAAACCTTGGGTCTCTCAAATATGAACTAGGTGGACCCCCATTATGCCATGATGTTTGGCATGTTAAAGCAGATGACACAATTGTTTTTTACTGAAATAGACTGTTGAACTACATACTACCCAACTTAATGACAGTGCATTGTCATTGGCCTGGGAAGAGATTCACAGGAGAGAGTGAACACCTAAGAGCTGAATTAACATCAGCACTTAAGCACTGTGAAAGTCTAAACTCTGTAAGGATACATATAACTACGTGGAAATTCTATCCAGTTTACTTGCAATATGAGACAGACTACTTCCATGCCCTCCACCTATAGTTGATGTCTGCAGTGCTGAGCTATTGAGAAACTCCTTTTCAACTATAAAGGTTGTATAATGTTGAATGGCAGTATGGCTGCGTATAGTGAGTTTGAATGTATCATGATTTATTTTAAGGCTGTTCTCCAGCAATATGACCAGAAATTGGGTACAAATTCAACTCCATTGCAGTGGCACTATTGATTAAAAAGGTTTTTCATCTCTTAGGGGGTTATTTCATTGGTTTGCGTTAAGTTTTATCTAGAACTTTCCTTCTGGTGGATTAATTTCAGTTCATTCTTAATATAACTAACTACATGGAACTGAGACCTTCTTGAGAAGCTGCCAGTTGTGCAGCTACTCAAGAATTTCCCAACATTTTATGGAACCTGAAGGTTCATTATCATGTTCACAAGAGCCCTCCACTGGTCCCAATTGTGAGCCAGATCAATCCAGTCAATACCACCCCATCCTATCTCTAATATCCATTTCAATATTATCCACCCATCTATGTCTTGGCCTTCCTTCTGGTTTTGCCACCAATATCCTACATGCATTCCCATTGTCCCCATTTGTGCTACATACCCTGCCCATCTAATGCTCCTTGACTTCACCATTTTAAATGTACCTGGCAATGAGTACAAGTTATGAAGCTCATCACTGTGCAGTTTTCTTCAACCACCTGTCACTTCATCCCTCTTTGGTCCAAATATTCTCCTCAGGCCCGTGTTTTCAAACACCCTCAGTCTGTGTACCCCCCTTAATATAAGAGAACAAGTTTTGCACTCATACAGAACCATAGGTAAAATTACAGTTTTGTATATTTTAATTTATACGTTTTTAGACAGCAGACGAGAAGACAAAAGGTTCTGGACCGAATAGAAATTGAGAACTACAAGGATGGATTAGTTTCGTAACCATATCACAGTGATTTCGAATATATTTAAGTGAATGGTAATCAGAGAAGTAAATCCATTCTGTAACACCAGCTTTCGTATTTCATTGTGTCCGTCAATAGCGTTCCATAAATTTGTATTTCGATACCCTTCAAATGAATTTCCAAAATACTGTACTTTGGATAACGTCCTCCAGTACATTTAGAAATTATGCAGCTCTCTCTTTCAACTTGAGAATGTTTTTGCTTAATTTATTTATTTATTTCATATCATATCCATGGATCATTGTACATGATNTTTCTGAATACTACGTACCCTATATATCTCTTAGGCTAGGAACACAAACAGCGACATCGGCCGTACGAACTCTTTTTCACCCTTTTCACATTAGAATACATTAGAGCATTAGAGCGACCAAAGTCATTCCTTTGCTCTCCGACTGTCGTACGGTAGATGTCGCAAGTCGTCACGTACGAAAGCTAAGACGGCCAAGACCGGCTAAGACTACATTTTGTATTCTACTACTTGATGTGACATGTACCGTACGTACGTCGCACGACCGATGTCTCTGTGTTCCTAGACTTGGCCATAAAAATAAAATCACTGAACCGATATTTTCTGGTAGCATTTGCGGAACCGGAATCACCGGTATATTGCCGTCACTGCCCGTGAGTGTCACGTGTCTGGTGCTAATATAAAAACATATATTTAAAATGTTATGGAAGACTTTGGTTTTTAAAACCCGGTCAACATGCCTTTTCCACAGACGTTCATTAAAGTAAGCAGGGACGCATACACCAATGAAGTAATGGCCATAGTCTCAGTAGTACATTGTCGTAATTTGTAGTTCTTTAATTGAAGGTTATGTCTAATTGTGTTAGTGTGAGACAGTTTTGAATTCTAACTTTAATAACACCAAAACTGAGGCAAATTATTGGTCCATTTTTTAACGTTAACACTGTATTTATTCACAGACTTCGTTTTCTACTTTCAGATGGCTTTTCGGAGGAAATGAACAGGAATCATATGCAAGTGTTGTAGATGGGCTGAAACGGGTGTACAGAACAAAACTTCTCCCTCTAGAGGAAACATATTTATTCCACGACTTTCACTCCCCAAAGCTGAATGATGCCGATTTTGAATCAAAACCCTTAATATTGTTCATGGGACAGTATTCTACAGGAAAAACAACTTTAATAAAGCATCTGCTGGGATGCGAATTTCCAGGAATGCGTATTGGACCAGAGCCTACAACGGATCGTTTCATAGCTATAATGCATGATGACAAGGAAGGAGTAATTCCAGGAAATGCCTTAGTTGTAGATCCAAAGAAACAGTTCCGACCCCTGTCTAAGTTTGGTAATGCCTTTTTGAATAGATTCCAGTGTTCTACTGTTAATTCTTCAGTTCTTAGGACTATTTCCATAGTTGATACCCCTGGGATCCTATCTGGTGAGAAGCAAAGAGTAGATCGTGGATATGATTTCACTGGGGTCTTGGCATGGTTTGCAGAAAGAGTTGACCGAATCATTCTCCTGTTTGATGCCCATAAACTTGATATATCTGATGAATTCAGGAGATCAATTGAAGCACTGCATGGACATGATGATAAAATCCGTATTGTTCTTAATAAATCTGACATGGTAGATCACCAGCAGCTTATGCGGGTTTATGGAGCTTTAATGTGGTCGTTAGGAAAAATTTTAAAAATGCCTGAAGTTGCAAGAGTGTACATTGGTTCCTTCTGGGATCAGCAGTTGCGGAACGACTTAAATCGGAGGTAAGGAATGTCAAGTGATGTTGGTATACTTTACATTTTCTGTCTTTTTAAACTGGCATACCTGAGCAAGTTGGCTCAAGCAATAACAGATTTCAGGTATAGGGGCTTGAAACTTAATTGGCACACTGAGCATCCTGAGTGAGATTACTTGTGGTTTTATTCAGTCCTTCCAGACATATGCCAGGATAGTAGCTTAAATGAGGCCATGAGTGCTTCCTTTCACGACCTTTCCAATACAGTATGCTCTGTTATCCAATCATTTGTCACTGTATGGGCATTATTAAATAAACTGCTGATCAATAATGTTGCAAGTTAGAAGCCCAATGTTTTTAAAACATTATTGATGTCAGCTGTCAGGTTGCTGTGCCTGTCATTGGAAGAGTGTCTTTAGATGGATCTGAGATGGATAAAGTGACGGAGGAGGGTATCTTTAACTAAATTTCTTTAGTTTTATGCTGCTAATCATTATTGCACCATTGCTGTATACTCCTTGCTGTATCACCACCCTCTGAGGTGTGATGACTTTGACCAGGCAGCACATTAACATGTTCTTGGTCTTTGTGTTAAGGGTTTTATCTCAGACCCAGCATTTGGCTGGTTGCAGAGTGAGGAAGGTGAGATTCTTAAGCCATAAGTATTCTGTTGGATTTGAGGTTCTCACAGCAGTTACTATGAAGACAGGCTTTCTGGATTGTAGCCCAGAGTAGTTTGGACAGAGCCCAGCATTTTGGAGGAAAATATGAGCTCCATCGTCAGAGTTGAAGAGTAAGCCAAATAGGAAACCAACAAAGGCAGGCCTCCAAACTACGCAGTGCTACAGCCCAGACCATACTGCTCGTGTGTATTTTGCCTGCATGAGGACCCATTCCGTTAATGCTGCTCCACTATCTTTAGGTTATTTGAAGATGAGGAACAAGATTTATTTCGAGATATACAGTCCCTTCCAAGGAATGCTGCTCTGCGAAAACTGAATGACCTCATTAAAAGAGCCCGCTTGGCCAAGGTAATTTGAGGGAGTTATTTTCTGTAATGATATAGAGCCTGTCTGAATTCACTCTCATAGATGCAATAAAAAACTGTTCACCACGTTTTGGAAGTATTTTCAATAGGAGTGTGGAATTTGTTGCGGGTGAGGGGGGGGGAACAATAAATATGCCCACAAAGTTTGTAAAAATATATTTTTTGCGAGATTTAACATGCTCATGCCAGGGCCTATGAAGATTACTTCTTCTGTGATGTGACGTAGTTCTGTATATAGGTACCAGTGTATTAGAGGAATGTGCTGCCTTTCATTGACGATCCAGAAGACAGTAATGTTCATATTTTTGTGAGTTTGAAGATTGCAAGTATGGTATCCATACAGATCTTCCAGGCTTGTAAAAGAACACAGAATCCAGTCTTTGGTGGGTATTTTGCTGCCCAGTTTTCTTGTTTGTAAATAGTTGTCCTTCATGAATGTCACATCATATGCCCCCATGAATATCACATATTTTTCCCTAATTTTTTACATCTTCTGTAAATGTAGAAGTTTTGCAAAATGGAAAAAAAAAACTATAAATTGTGTGCCTCAAGTGTTTGTGTTCCTCACAGATATTATTAAGTTAAACCGTCCCTGTAACAGGCCATGGAGGCCCATAGGGTTGTGAGGTTGTGTCTAGGCTCATACATTTTCTAGACAGTCAGCTCACAGATGGCAGGTGAGGTTGTTAGCCTTATGCACTGGCTGCCCTTTACCCCCAGGAAGATTCCTGGTGCTCATTTCTGTTAAGAGGCTGAGTCAACTCCAGGGTCATAGTGCGGCTGGAAGTGTTAAGTGAATTGAAAAATGTAGTGACCTCATCAGGAATTGAATCTGGAACCTTTCTGCTTGTAGCATACTGCCTCAGCCAACTACACTAGCATGTGCCCCTCACAGATGTTATTAGGGAGAGTAATTCAAGAAGGAGGAAGTAGATGTAACATGTAATTACACACGAAGGAAACAGGAAAAGTTTATCTTATTTTATTTGGTGAATCTCGAGTGAAGAGACCACTTGGGAGAATATTAAAAATAATTTTAGAGTGGGGGAGAAAAGGGCTATGAAGGTGTAATCTGGGTTGATCTGGCTGAAGACATTGCCCTATTGCTTTTTTGGACATAGTGATGAATATTTTTGCTATCAGCTCTTCAAGAAAGATAAGTAAAAAAGTAAAGCTATCCCTGTAACAGGCAGTGAAGGCCCATAGGGTTGTGAGACGTTGAGGGTCTCACATTATCTAGACAGTCGGCTCAAAGATGGTGGTAAGGTTGTCAGCCTTATGTGCCAGCTGTGCTTTGCTCCCCAGGAAAATGATTTAATTAGTTCCTGGTAGATACTGTTGAATATGTTTACTGAAATAGTAAAATATGGAAAAACCAGAAGTCACCTTTTCATTCCACATAAACATGATCCTTAAATCCTTTCATGTGTGAGATCTGCGGTTCTCACAGCAGTGATTATGCAACACTGTATGGTCTGGTAAATATTTGCAAGACTACAATGTGCATTTCAGGCGCATGCCTATATCATCAGTTCGCTACACCAGGAGATGCCTATGTTATTTGGAAAGGACTCTAAGAAAACTGAACTGATCTCAAACCTGGATCAAATTTATTCCCAACTGGAGAACAAGTACCTTATCTCCCCAGGAGACTTTCCTGAACTCAAAAAAATGCAGGCAAGTGTGTGTATGTCATAGGTGGTTTGTTTATTTGTAGTTGTTTTTAATGTTGCTGTCAGTGACTCAGACTATGTATCGTTAAATGATTAGTTTTTCCCCTCCTCTTGCTCCCACTTTGGAGCATAGGGCTGATTTCTCAGTTTCATCATTTTTACAGACAGTAAGACTCCTTGGACGGGTGATCAGCTCGTCGCAAGGCCTCTACCTAAACACAGGACAACACAAACACACAATAAACGCATACACACATCAGACATCCATGCCTTGTGGGATTCAAACCCATGATCCTGGCTTCCGAGCGAGCGAAGACAGTACATGCCTTAGATCTCTCGGCTACTGTGACCAGCAAATGAGTAGATGGTAGTGAATAATGAATTTGAAATGTGTAGAAGGAAGCAGTCTTAGCATAATTTAAGACATTATCCTAGAATTTGCCTGGAGTGACAGGAAAACCACAAAAGACCTTTGTCAGTATAGTCTGTTCTAGCTTGCTCGGTGACCACTTCTTGAGAACACTTCTGTTACCCATGATACACATTACTGAGTAGGCTAATGTCCATGATGGTTCCCAACCCGTGCAAGGTTTCCAGGGTGTCTGTGGATACCATCTCTAGTGGCAGATTTTAATTTCAGAGAATTCTTTAATAGGTGATTTTATATTGTTAAGGAAATAGGAAAATGCTTTAATTGTGTGTCGCATTGAATTGTCTGATGAACCACAGTTATGAAACCATTTGTAGAGTAATAGTAACAAAAAGAGAACCAAAATAAATTGAAATTATGGTTTGCCAAGCAAGTAAGTCACAATAAAACATTACCTCAAGCCAGTTAATACAGTTCACTTACACTGTGCTCACTGTGTTTGATTAGATTTTGCTATGATTTTAGATTAATATAATGTGTTATGTCATGTGTAATTTTTAATATACTATAGTCTGTGTCTGAGACATCTGTCAGGTTGCAGTGTCATCAGATAGTGATGTAAATTGGTACGCCATCATTTGAAGGCTGCGAGACATACAATGGGAACCATTATTGCCATAAAGGAGATCTTGTTGAACACATGCAGTCATTTCCTTCCATAAGGACACTTACTCACAAAGATATTTTAAATAAAGTATATGTGTTTTAATGGTCCAGGTATCTGTCAAGTTTCTTTCCAAAACAGAAATTCTCTGCAGCAAAAAGTATTGTTGAATTGGTTCTTGTTTAAATTATTTGACATTTTACTACCCCAAGTGGAACTAGAGACCTCATCTGTGGTCTAGTGGTCAGAGTTCTTTTGTACAGATCCAAATTCCTGGCAGTACCAGATTTTCTGAGAAGTAGTGGGTTTGGCACAGGGTCTACTCAGCCCCGTGAGGATAATTGAGCTATTTCAAGGCCGGTCTAGAAAATCGAAATTAACGGCCATGGGGATTCATTGCCCTGACTATGCGACACCATCTATCTGCTAAAGTTGGCACTAACTTCGCTGACAAGCAGCGGTCACTTGGTTGGTATAGTTCAGTTGCAGACTAAATGCACAGAGTTTGTTTTTGTCTGTTTATGTTGAACTAGATCTTGTTTCACTTCAGCTTCCAGTAGTGGTTTGTTGCATCTGTAAGTGATTGTGAATTTGTTATTACAGGAGCAGCTGATGCGTCAGGATTTTGCAAGGTTCAGTTCCCTGAAGCCACACCTGCTGGAGGCAGTAGACCGGATGCTGGCTAATGACATTGCTCGTCTGATGGCCATGATTCCTCATGAAGCTTTGACTACTGATTCGTTTGTTAAGGGTAAGGATCATGTACAAATTTGTTATACCTGTGTATATGTTCATTTTGGTCTTCTTAGACTGGTATGTAATTTGAAGGTATTTGGGTTGTTTATGAAGCTTTGGAGTTTGTGTGAAATAATGTTTGTCCCACCATGGATACTTCAATCTTCAAACCATTTGTTTAGTATCATCAAGAATAAAAGATGTCAGCAGCATATTAATTATAATGTAATTAAATATATATTTAAATATGTGTGGGCCTATAAATTCAGATGGAAGGAAATTTCATTTATTTACTACAGAGAATGAGAGACTTTGCTGCTAGGGAGATCATTGTTACAATTCTGGAAATGTATGCGTAGAGTCTGTTTTGTTTAATTCTCTGAAAAATTGTAAGACTTTCAGGAAATGTGTATAGAATGTAAAATTTGTTTAGTTTTTCTTTACAAATTTTCTTTGAAACATATTTTGCTCTGATGTATAATTAGCAAGCTACACCCAGACACATATAGGTCTTAATGGAAAGTGTTTGTTGTTTCTGTTCAGTTTTAACCAAATTTGAATGTATCTACAAATTTTGTGGTAATCCAGTTATCAGAGTTCACCTTCTGTTGCACTGCCACTAGATGGGACATGGGCTGTTGTGTTCAGTTACACAGTAGCTATGGCTGTGACACTAGCATGCAGTGTTGCTCAGTTCAGAGCACATGTTTCAGCAAACCACCTGTACCTTAAAAATGTATGACTAAAAAGAGAAACTGGCACATTTTTGTTCACTACTAAAAGAGGCACTCAGAGCTGGGATAGCATAGTTGGTATAGCAACTGGCTGTGGGCTGGATGACTGAGGGATTGGAGTTTGAGCCCCTGTAGGATCAAGAATTTTCTCTTCTCCACATCGTCCAGACCAGCTCTGGGGTCCACCCAGCTTCCTATGCAATGGGTACCAAGGGCTCTTTCCCCAGGGGTAAAACTGTCGGGGTGTGAAGCTGACTACTCACTTCCAGCTAATGTGGAGGTCAAGAAAATGTGGATGTATAGATCCACTTCCCCATATGCCTTCATGGCATAATGCTTAATTGGTTAAGCACAGGGACAACTTTACCTTTTACCTTCTACTAAAAGAGGCACCAATTGTGAGGCTGTCATGCATATGATCTCTCATTGTTCCATAAACAGTCTGCATCCAAAGGCAGCATAAGTTACATGTAAATAAAAGATAATGCTATTTTTGTTAATCTAGCCTTCACAGTTTGGTAAAATCTTTACACCAGACATTAAGGCACCGTGTTACAGAACTGGTCCCAGTCGTGGTTTCAGAATAATGCCTTATTGCTGCACATATTAGTTGCTGAGATTTACTTTTCATTCTTGTTTAAGAGCATCTAATGGTTTTTATTATCTGTTATGAGTGTTGTTAACTTTTGTTGGCAAGCACTGGTGTTGCATTTAGTCACCATGCAGAAAGGTGAAGGTAAAGCTGTCCTCTGTGACTAATTAATTAAGCACCACGCCATGAAGATGTATTTGCGAGTGGAGGTATAGTGCCACCATTCTTGACCTCAGCACTAGATGGGGGTGAGTGGTCAGTTCATTTCCCTGCTGCTTTGCCTCTGAGGAAATATACCCTGGTACCTATTGTATAGGAAGGTAGGTGAACCCAAGAGCCAATCTGGATGCTTCCAAGTAGAGAAAAATCTCATCTTCCCGCCAAGAATCGAATCCTGGTCATCCAGCGCATAGCCCCTCACTCTACCACTTTTAATGTTGTGATCCAGGTGGTGCATTTGAAGCAGTGGGGAGTAAAGTGGGGCCATTTGGTTACAAGCGTGGGGAAGGTGTTGATGCTGGGGCAGGTGATTTAGAATGGATCGTCGGTAAAAAGCGCGCAGAGTATGATGCCATCTTCAAGATGCTCAACCCAGTTGAAGGAAAAGTTATGAGAACAGGTGGGTCCATAGGTCATACAGTCCTGCTTTAGCTGCATAATGCTCTAGTGCTTTTCTCTGTGGTGTACAGTGGTATGTCATACTTGCAGTCTTTTCTCTAAAATTAGAAATAAATATATGGTGCTAAAGTGAGAAAAACGAAATTAAAGAGACATAAGGAAATGTGTTTTCTTTTATTTATGTCATGTTTCCAAGCCTACTGGTGCTAACTGAGCAACATTTATCATATTGCTTTTTAAAAATGTATAAACCGGCACAGCAGAGACCTGTGTATCCGAAATAAGAAGCAAAACAATTTTTAAATAGTATTTCACTTGATAGTTCCATCTCCCAACTGATATATGAAAATTACATGTACAGTCAACTCTCGATTATCCGGGCTAATGGTGGGGATGGNACCAGCTTCTAGATATCAGCCAGATCAGATCAAGATGTATGTAGTGTAACCTGCTTTGCCATATCAGTTAGTTCACTGGCAGGGAAGAGCAACATACCTGTAAAGTTAAACCTACTGTTTTTTTTTCTGAATAGACTGTTGTGGATGCTGGTATCTGTCAGAACCATTTAAAATTCTCTTACTTGGCCCTGATAAAATATATCAACATAAGTTTTCTTTTTAAGTTATAATTTCCTTTATAGAACTGTGATTTTGGACTCTGGTCTCAGATTTACTACTGTGTACATGGAACCCCTAATGTTCCTTTATTTAAGATTTTATTATATTTAACCATTTCAGTGGTGTTTCTAGAACTCTTTTGTGTTTCACTGAGTGGTCCTGCTTTGTATTTCCTGGAAAACTTTCATGCACAGTGCTGTGTTTGTTATATCCTGATGTTTCTCAATGCTTTGTGATAGCTGTTGCACATAATTCTTACATTTCTCAGATATTAGCACTGTGTGGCATTCTCATAATGGCTTTCTGGTTGCAGTAACAATTGTTTCATATTTTAGATAACATAAATTAGATGTTAAATTACCACTGGAGCAGTTAACATTGAATTTCAATGATACCCAGTCTAATATTGGTAATTAACTTCCCAATTCTAAAGGGTTATGACAGTGGTATATAACACTAGGATTAATGGGTTTTTGGGCTTAGTCCATTGTACAGTATTGTGAAGAACACAAGAGGACACAGCATTTCAGAGACTGGATCTGGTTCTATCCATGAGTGAGAGGGTGGGAGACCCCTACTGTGTTGGGTCCCTTAGAAGGGGCTAACCTTGATCACTGAGCCTATGGACCCAACACAGTAGGTGTTTCCCACTCTCCCACCTAAGGATTGAAACAGAACCAGTTTCCAAAATTCTGTATTCTTTTGTGTTTTTTAGAATACTGTCTGATGGAAAAAGTCCATAATCCCAGTAATCCAAACTGTTAATAGCTTCTGTTTAATATGTTCTTCATTTTAGTGTTGAAATCCACTGCTTGTGGAAGAGATCTGCATATGAAGTTCACTATATTTTGGCATGTTTCCCTACAGATGTGAAGCTGGAAATGATGAAGTCTAAGCTGCCTAGTTCGGTACTTGGAAAGATCTATGGATTGGCAGATGTGGATCAAGATGGCTTACTTGATGCTGATGAGTTTGCTCTTATGATGTATCTTATTTCAGTCAAATTAGATGGTCATGACCTTCCATCTGAATTACCTTCTCACCTGATTCCTCCCTTGAAGAGAAAGGGTGTCCAGCAGACAGCTTCCATTTCAGAGAAGACAAGTTGAGGTTTATATGACATAGGAATCACTTTGATAGACTGCCAGGCTGTGAAAAGGGCTGGCATTTGGTTGAGTTCCTCATGGGCTAGCTGGATTATTCCAGTGGCAAAGAACACCAAGTACACATGTTGCTTATAGAACGTTCAAACTAATAATTTCCTGTCTTTAGATAACCCTCTATAGCAGCAGTTCTCAACCAGTGTAACATGAAGAGCCCACAGGTGTGCCACTGGAGTTCAGGGGAAAGGTTGAAAAGAAGCAAAGAAAAAATTGAATAATAAAAAAGTCATCAAAATCCATGATCAACATTGTTTTAAATATAACACAATGATTAGAATTTTACCTATTGAACTTTTAAACACAATCTTATTAAGCATTTTTTTCATTATTGATAAAATCTCTCCTTAAAAAATTGATAGTGCACCTTGACAATTTTAGTGCCTTGTTTGGTGTGTTATAAGTTGAAAAAGGTTGAAAAACTGTGCTCTGTAGCTCTCTTGTGTCTGACTGAAGCTGAGATAGCTCAGTCAATATGCTGACTAAGCTGTGTGCTGGATGACCTATGAATCAAGTTTCAAGTCCCAGGAGGCAGGATATTTTTCTCTTCTGTACAATATCCAGACCAGCTTTATGGCCCATCAGCCTCCTGTCCGGTGGTTACTGGGGTGTCCTTCCCCAGAGTTAAAGCAGCTGGGGCGTGAAGCTGAACACTCACCTCCATCTAGTGCTGATGTTCAAAATGCGTGGAGCTCTACAACCTCACTTCCTCATATGTCTTGATCAAGTGACGAGCTGTGGCTGGAGGAGCAGGTTTCGACTCCTGCAAGAAACAGAATTTTCTTATTTCCTGCCATAACCATACAGGCTCTGGGGCCTACCCAACCTCCTGTTCAGTGAGATAGAATACAGTGCCCTTCCACTGAAGTAAAGTAAATATGAAGTGACACACAGAGCTGCATCATTGCTAACAATCTAGCTTGACTTTCACAGTGCTTTTCAATCATGTAATCTAAAACATCACACTAGTCGAGGGTATGTTAACAGTCACATTGACTGTCAGCTTACTCCATGTTGAGTAGTAGAAAACCCATTCACAATCTCCTGCCACCCTCCCACATGCAGTTACTGAGCCAAGGCCAAGCTTGCAGATTGGTGGCAACAACTGTACAGACATGCAGAATATATGGAGCTTTACCTTCACTTCCTTTGTACTCCACCATTAGCTGTGCTTAGATATGGAGGTAACATATACCTTTGCTTCCTTAATCATGACAAAGTACTTTTCACTTTTATATTCATCCATTCATGCTACATTTCCAACTCATTATGTCTCCTTAATGTTAGCTGTTTCTTCTGTAGCACAGCTCTGCACTTATGGGTACTTAATTTCTGTTTTTATTTTGTTTCCTTCCATTATTGTAACAATCATATGGATCAACTTAAGACAGGTTGTTTCTTTCCACATCCTTTCCATTCATTGTTCACTGATCATCCTATTATTCGATGCGATATAGTCAGAATTATTGATGACAACGTTAAAGAAACGACAAATGAATATGTAGAGTGTAAAACTGATGGCAACTCTCCCAGCATTTATCTGGAAGGATTGAGGAAGACCACAGAACACCTCAGGACAGCCAATGTCCCAACCCAGAATTCAAACTAAGCACCTCCCAAATACAAGTGCAGAGCATACCGATATACCGAGCTGCTTTCTTACTTTTTATGTTTCATTTGGTATTTTCAGGCAGATTTCAGTGTAGTAGGAGCCAGGGTAGTGTAGTCAGTATAGCAACTGGCCACAGGCTGGATGACCAAAGGGTTGGAGTTCAAGTCCCGGTAGGGTCAAGATTTTTATCTTTTCCACTTCATCCAGACTGGTTCTGGGGCCAACCCAGCCTCCTATCAAATGGGTACTGTGGGTCAACTGGCTGGGGCATGAAGCTGACCACTTACCTCCAACTAGTGCCGAGGTCAAGCAAGTATGGATGTATACGTCCACTCCTCTGTATGCCTTTGTGGCATAGTGCGTAATTAGTTAAGCACAGGGACAAATTTACCTTTTTTTTTTTTACCTTTTATCAATATAGTACCTTGAAAAAGACAATGGCTTCCTTTCGCCTCCATTCCACTTCAGCATGTACCATCGTCACTTCACCACAGTCATTGCAGATCAACCTCTGAGCTTGATCACACCATTTGGAAATGTATGCCTACTGAGCTGATTGATGTAATCATAATTCTTGTCTTTCCTCCTTTGCTTTGTATTTAGGGGGTACTTGCTGTGAATCTGGACTCCCTTACCAGTTGTCCTGACAGTGAGTTTTTATGCCTTTTCTCAGTATCTGCAGCCTAATGCTAGTTTAGTACATTGCAGTAGATGGCACACCTTTTCCAACTCTTTGTCTGCTCATGAATGAGCATCTTCCGATCTCATTCTATAGCAAATAACCCAATAATGAATCAAACAATTAAATCACATGCAATATCTGTCCACATACAGGTGTTGTTTCAGTGTCTGGTTGGTTCTTGTTGGGTAACTTCTTATCATCTCTGCAGTGTCCTGAACTCATCACTCCCTAATAATCTCTTGTGACGGAACTATGTATGCTTTATTCCAGGATGTTACAACTACAGTGAGGTGAAAAATGTGTGTCTGTTGTGAGGTCAATTCAGTATTCCTTCTAGTTGTGTAATTACCTTAAAAATGAATAAAAATTGTGATAATTATGAATAAAGAAATCATTGTTATAGACTGTGCACTATAGGAGTGTGAGTAAACACTAAAATATGATTATAACTAAAAGCAAGTCAAGGAAAGAATGAACACAGATTCTTTGCCATCCATCTGCCCAGCAGCTACCTCCCCTCTGCTTACCTTCCCCCATTCCCTCCAATACAGTATAATATAAGATCAAGATTTAAATGACGACATAGAGGTGAGACTGCACTAATTTTGTTCACATAAAACTTGCTTGCATACTCAACCCCCTTAAGGAGGCCTTAAAGATTTGTAGATTTGTGTTGAAGAGGTGAAGGCTGGACTGTTGCTGTGTTTCTAGTAACAGACAAGGAGTTCTTTGTGGAAGGAATATATCAGCTGGTGTACCAATGAGATGCCGACCTCAACTCCCATAGTGACTATTTTTAATAGCCTCTGCTCCTTCACTCACAACAATCCCTGAGGTTTCTTTTGAATAACCATCATATATATTTTCACATGTAGGGTGGTACACATGACAAGAATGATGGGTTCTATTTTGGATGATTAGATTCATTAACTCCTTGGTTAAAACCTCTCTTAATTACACTTAAATCACAGTGATACAGCACTATTGCTAATTTACACACTTTACATTTCACCGCTGCACACACACTAGGATTCCTAGTCTTCACTTGTCATCTCCGGGCAACACATCTCAACACACAAACTATAACAGTCTCACTGGATCACGCACGCCCAATATCACTGTACTACTGCACACATAAAGTCTTCTAATTACCTGCCAAATCTTCATATGCCAACCTCCTGTGCTCTTCTGTACTCCAGGTTTCAATTTGCTCCTCCAGCTTACAACTGAATTTTCTACACTGGATTCACTTCTCTTTTAAGCTTTCGGCAGGGACCCCACAGAAAAACGGCCTCTATTGTTATAATGCTTTCACTGAACCATTGCATAGCAGTGGTTGTGGCACGGACTCCATAGAAAGCGAGTCGTGTGCTAGCCATCTCACCAGCCCATTGGAATGCTGACTGTTGCCTAGCAACGAGCTATAAACATCCGTCTTATTGAGTGCACTTACATGAGATGTTTATCACACCGTTGCTAGCTATACATGTTACAATATATGTATATATATATATATAAGAGAGAGAGAGAGAGAGAGAATGAGAGATGTAAGGGAGCATGTGAAGACAAGACTTAGTCAGTGCAGTTGAGAACAGAAGCTGAATAATCTCCATCGTTAAGCTCTGTTTCAATGATAAAACTAGTGATACCAGACCAAAAGGACTTAACGTATGGTGTAGTAATTTATAAAGTGTGAAAATCAATGATAGTTTTATAGTTACTGTAGTTATGACCTGTAAGTGGTCAACAAATACAGTCTCCAATCCAAAACTGCTTGGATAGTCACCCCTTCACATGACACTATATATATTGTCACGTGTTGAGTATGTAACGCGACAAATAGCTTCACACCATTTTGGATCTAGCGAATTTATTGAATACTCATTCTTACACATACACAATTCACAATTTCACAATCACTGCCATCTGCAGTATCACAATTGCTTCTCCAGCTGTAGTCACTTCCATTCACTTGATACAACTCAGCTTGTAGTTTCTGGACTTCAACTCATACTAAATACTCCATCCTCAATACTAGTAACTCTCTCTCTAGTAACTGGCTCATCACTGACAAATACTCCTCGTTATGTAGCTTCCGCACTGACCACACAGAAAACAGTTACATGATAGTTACCACTGTTGCGTGATGTCATGTTTACCAATTGCCTAGCAACATTCGCTGCACAGCCTCCCCTGTTGCCTGATGTCACAGCCTAGTGGTGAGGGGTGTTTACCGAGTGTTGCGTAATGATGGAAGGAGTGGGGGTATGTGACGTCACTCACAGAAACGCAGAGTTCACGTGACCCCTACTTCCTATTGCGCCATCCACGTTACATTGCTCCCTTCTAAAGGTTGTTCATCCCGAACAGCCTAACAGTACATCCCCGTTCCTTTTTCTCTGGTGTTTGCCTTTGGGGAGCTACATCCGCCCTCTTTCTTCAAGGTGCTTGTCGTAAGCAGCTCCATGGTCCAGTGGTTGTTGATTCCGTTGTCTCGCATTCATTCATCACTCATTCACTCATTCTAACTGGGGAGGCCGATGCTTCTGTGTTACCGGTTACTCCACCATGCGCTATTCCATTTTTTCTGTTTTGGAGGGGGTCGATCCCTCCACAGTGTCCAGTGTCTCACCTCTCTTAACCTACTGGAAATCCAGATGGTTCCCTTCACACCCTCTGACTTGAGAGCTTGCCCAAGGGCCTCATCTAATGTTTTCATGCTGCTAGGAATGGGTTCCTTGAAGTTTCAGCTCCTTATTCTTCTGTTGTCTCCCGGGTGCGCTTGACATCGCTTCCAGAGCGCTTGCCTTTTCTGGGCTCTTGCTGCAGGACTGTCCCTGCCCCTGTGTCTCCTATGCCATGCCACTTCTGTATGATGGGTCATCCTGATTCTCTCAGCAGCCAGTTCTTTCCACGGTCGACAATTTTCCTGGGTCTTGTTCACCCTGAGGATGTCTCTCTTGAGTCGTGCCACTGTTGCACAGCGGGACATCTTGTCGTTTATCTTAGTCTGCAGTGTCACTTTCAAATGGCGGCTCATCCCTCTTGTGGCAACGATCAGTCCTTTTCTTCGGTACCCGTCCTGACACTGGGTCCATTCATTCATCTGGTGGCGGCACTCCGTGGCCAGTTTTCGGTCCTTACACCTTTTTGTCTTCAGTTCTCTGACCAGTGTTACTTCGGCGTCTACTTTGGGGACCTCTTCTTCTTCTGCCGCCTCAAGTTTCGTGGTTCTCATTTGCGCACATTTAGGGTTGCAAACAAAAATAAGTCATGAGTTGTTTAGTGTTTGCACTGTCGAGTTAGTATAATTATTTTGATAATTTCACCAAGGGGCTAGTTACATGTGACAGTTCAGGCCATTAGATGCTGGTTTCTCACTGCTGAGGGCCATGGTCAAAGTCAGGGCTGTATGTCTGGTGGGTAAAATGGCACTGAGGTATGTTCTATTCTGCCAGTCATTTCATCAATGCTCTGTAGTCATGACATTTCATCTGATTAGCCAGCATGACATTACAGGATTGATTACATTTTTGATATAGGAAAATTACATCTGCAAATTTCATTTAATAAGCAGCTGATGGTAATTTTAATTGAATTAATTTGTTGGACATGTTTTTCCCATTCTGAGCTACGTGTTCCATGCACATTGATTTCATTGCAGTATGGTACATATACAAATTGCGAAATTCATCAGTATCTAATATTCTTTATTCCTTACCTATGTCATCTCTCTTAAGTCTAAGAATTTTCCTTTGTAAGAGAACAGCACTTTTGAGAAGTGACCATATAGTTGGTAACAGTTCCATTCTAAACATTGGTACCTATCAGACTACATACCATTACATCCCATAAGACCATAATCTTAATATTCAGTGCCATGAGAACCTGAAATCTAATATTGGCTTTGGTATTTTACCATGTATTAAAGTTCAATGGTTAGTATTACTGCTTCATATATGGAATACCCTGATTTGATTCTCAACTTTGAGACCAGCAGTAAGTATTTCATGGGATTTCTCAGACAGTTGTTTCAAAATTTTTGTCTAACCACTATTCATGAAAATCTGTCAATCATGTTCAACACTGCAATTAATGCAGATTGTTAGAGTAACCTAAGAAGTAATCACATGTAAGGTCCTTCCTTCTTTTCACAAAAAGTATTGGAACAGTACCTTAATGTAGGTGGCATCTGTTTTCTTTCGCTCCTAAATTAATCTTTCATATTCACTTTGTCATTGATTGTTATTTGACCTTTGCAGATCTGGCATGTGACCTTTCAAAGATCAAAGATGGAATTTGCAGAAACAGTTGGTGTGGCTGATGTACTGACTGACCCTTTGTTACACACATTCTGTGTGCTTTCCTTGTTCCCATATTTGTCAACAGGACTTTTATAATTTGAATTGCCATAAAATAGTTCCTCAAGAACAAAGATAAAGATTTGTTTAAAATGCTGAGTTATTGTACACTACATATTTAGTTCTTATACTTGTTTATTATTATATATTATTTATTATACTGCAATTGGGTTTCAGCCCGGTGGCAGTACACAATAGGACACAACAGACAAGTAACACACAGTAAAACACATTGTGTTTTTATTTCAGTTTGCTTGTGCATAGAAACAATAAAACATTTACATTTTTAAGTAAGTCTTTAACCTTGTTTGTCAAACAAGGCGTTTGGAAAAGGTTTTATGTAGCCCATTTTCATACAAATGTTGAGAGAAAGGTGTATGTGAGCTTTGAGAATCCTGTGGTGGTGGCGGCTGTGAGGATTTCTGTCTCATGCTTTGCAGAAGAGTGACTCAAAACATCAGAAGTAAAGACAATAATCTTTCAAACTTTTTTGAAACAAAGATAAATAAAAAATTACTATGTGAAGTAGGGCAGAACAGACAGAAGCTTCTAAATTTCTTTGAAATTTGACACTTCAAATAGTTTCACCAGATAGAAAACATCGTGACCAATTTTTCACAAAGATACGGCTTATATGTGTGACAAATCGCTATGCTTACTGCTGTGCCGTTGGTTGCTTGACTTATTTTCTACGTGAAGGTGGAAGCAGTTCGTCCCAATGAAATATCGGCAAAATTCTACCAGACCACACGGCGTCACATCACGGAAAGCTTATTTATCTTTGACATTGCAAAGAACTTATACATATAGTGCGCAACTCAATGATTTACATCTTTGACATCGTTTTACATCTTTGACAAATGCAGCTTGCGGTAGCCATTTTGTAAGGATAATGGTAAGCATGGTAAGTGTATAGTGACTATGACTTTAAAACTTAAAGTATTTTGAAACGTTTATAGTTTATAATAGCAATAATAATAATAAGTTAAAAGATACGTCAGCATAATCTGCAGGTTAGAGGATATTGGAATTTGTGATGTTGCTAACACGAATATACCTTCAAATGGGCCATGACGACATGCTATCAGATTCACTAAGAATGAATCTTCTGTTTGAATATGTATGATCGGGAGCATTAAATAGATCAGTAATAAGCGAGAAACAACAATATAAACTACTGTTCCCTCTCTCAAGGATATGTTAACTTTTAATTCCAATGTGAGTGAAAGTATTTTCGTACTTATTCGGTAAATGCCGCATATAATCACATCTGTGATATATTCGCCTTACCGTACAAGGGAATTAAGTCGGTTTAACGTGATTGAGGAACAGGATGCAGTGCTTTTTTTACTCAGCCATTACTATCTGTTACAAGGAATACATTGGTGTCGGTGAAAAAATTGCTGAGTCTGGTGATGGAGAACTTCCCAAATGGAGCATGCGCACTCTGCAGGATTCAAGATTCCCCGTTGATGTAATTTTGCCAGATGCTCGTCACCCATTCCTATGGTATGTTGGGAAATTTAAGGTCTTTAATCTTATTATTCATTTGCCAGTGCAGTTCAGGACACATTATAATAGGCAGTTATTGATCTAGAACATTGAAAAAGCACTGCAGACATTATCAGGAGATTTATAAATGTAATTCTGAAGGTTTACATAATTACTCTCTGTTGACTGACAGGCTGGTGATGGAGCTTAGTGACTTTCAACCAAGCAACGTGGATGAATCTACTGTCTCCTTTTCTGTTCAGTCCGCTATGTATGATGGTTCCTTGAGCTGAAGGTATGTATTGTATCAGCTACATATTACCATTACAGCCAGAATATCCAGTTCACTCATGTGGCCAGTTGCAAAATTCAAGGACATCTGGGAGAATGTGATGTGCTGGATGCTGTATGACATTAAATGTACCGTTTTTTGGAGATGGAAAGTATGCCCAGCACTCACAATGTAAACAGACCCAACCAAAGTTCTGCACGTTTTTGCTGGACCATTAATATTTAATGTATAATTTTTCTTTTGCATAATGGAGCACCTGCTTATAAAAATTCTTTAAATTAATGGCAGCCTTGAATTTGCATAGTAATTCTGTAATATCATGTCATTAGCACTTTTAAATGTATGTATTTTCTTGTACATAGCACAGACAATTACAGATACTGTTATTTGTGAATTGTACTTTACAGTCATGGAGTTAACAACACGTTTGTGCACTTAAGGTGTTTGTCTTTTCATATACTAATTATGGATTGTCTGAAAATTCATATTATATTGAATTTTGCAATCATTGAATGATACACTTGCAAGAAAGATCTTCATTCTAATTTCTTGTGTTATACATATCACAGATTGTTGTTAATATTAGCTGGATTAAGATTTATAGTTTTGTCGCAGTTTGTATAACCTGTAACTCTTTATTGACAGTCCTGGGCAGAAGAAATTGCCATTCCAAGAGATGGATGGTGTCACATTCTGAATTGTGGAAATGCCAAGGATGTTTACTCACATTCTACTCCCCAGCTGTGCACCAGTCACGAGGGGTCCCAACACTAAAAGTATGTAACTCATTTGATACATTTGATTTTCTTTCTAATTCGCTTAGTGGGGGGTGGAGTTCAACTGGGTCTACTCAGCACGGTGGCCACTGATTGGCCTATTGTAGCCTGCCCTGGGTGATTATGATGATGGAGAATTTTGTGGAATGAAGATTGGCAGGGGAAACCGAAGTACTCGGAGAAAACCTGCCCCAGTGCCACTTTATCCACCACAAATCCCACTTGACCAGACCCGAGATTGAACCCGGTCCGCCGCAGTGGGAAGCCAGTGACTAACCGCTTGAGCTGTGGCGTGGCCGCTACATTTGATTTGGTGCATCCTGGTCCGTTGCACTAGCAATATCAACTCCGTCCAGTTAGACTGATAATTTTTTTTTCTCTCCTTTTTAATCTCTTATCCTTGACATGTTTCGGTCTGAGAGACCAACTTCAGAAGAATATGTCAATACAGGCAGAAACTACTATTACAGCGTGATTGGTCAGTATCAGTACATACATAAGTATCATTACAGTGCCATGAATATAAAGTCTGAGCATTTAACACCTACAGTAATGTGCTTGAATGCATTAAAATATTTATAAATTATTACAGTTCGTTCGTTTACAAGTTTGATTTAAAGACTTCGTTAAAATTTAGAATCAATTTGGTTTGTGTCCTTTATACTGCCCCTTTTTAAAGGAAGTTGAGTGTCCTGTTGTTTGGGCCGTGCTGTGTCACACTGGACGTGGTTTATAACCTTTTATAATTTTCATTTGATACAGCTTGTCGTTGTGGCTGGGCTCTGCTGCTGACTGCAGGCGCCTTAGAGGGATATATGGTGGAATCCCCATTTTAAGGTTCTTTGATTTAGGGTTTTCCAACATTTGACATTCAATTTCAGTAATTCAAGTCAGTAATGTCATTGTGAATTTTCCACCATTTAAGACTTTTCTCAGTTAGTGTTCAGATTCACTGCTCCCACAGAAACCATAAATGGGCATTAGACCGTATCACAGCTGTTTGAGTGGACCCCAGTCTGTGCTGTACCCTGTCATCACCCAAGGTGAATGTTTGGGTCTACTAGAGAGGAGGTAACAGGAGGAGAAAACTATCTAATGAAGAACTTCATAATTTGTACTCTTCTCCAAATATTAGCATGATCAAAAGAAAGTTGAGGTGGGTGGGATATACAGCATGTATAAGAAAGAGGAGAAATATAAAGGCGACTGGAATACGGTTTGGAAGACTTGGGCACAGATGGCAGGATAGCATTTGGAACCTAACCCTTTCACTGCTAGTATGATAAGTAACTCGCAGTACCCTCTGTGCTGAATTATTTTTGAATAAATCTTTTATAAATAAATAAAGTGCAAAGTATGAAAATTTGTGGTAAAATGTAACTAATCTTACCTCAGACAGGGAACAGGCAGCAGAAGTTGCAAAAATGTTGAATTATTCAGTATTTTTCACAGGGGAAAAGTCCATTTAAATCAGGGTTGTCCAAGACGGCCAAAAAAGTACATAATTCACTATCCTAGAATCACTGTATTTATATCACAGTCTTATCTCTATGTCACATGTTGACCAAAGTCCACAGTATTATTTAAAACTATTATGGAAAGCACCGCACACTATATGAAGCCATTTTTACTAGCCCGGAAAAATACCCGTGTCACATGACCACAGAGCGCTTGTCTCACTGTGCAAATGCAACCTTTTACATTTCTTAAGCTAGTGGGCAGAAGAATGAAGCCATTGAAATGAATGATGCTTCATTATGTTCCCAATAGATGACTCTATGCACCTGCCAAGTTTGAATGAGATTGGTGCAAAGAAACCTGAGATTTGAAACTCTTTTAAGTCGAAATATGGGTTTTTTCAATCGTAGCAAGGACGCCATGTTTTTTCAGAGATTGATATATGTCGACAGCAGCAGTGTAAGGGTTAAACAAGAAGTTCCAGGAAGAACTTACTTTCCTTCACACATTGAATAATTGATAGAACATGGCCTGTGTAGAAACACTGCATCCAAGAGTTCTTCAATTTCTGTATGTGTTTACTGAGCCATTGCCTAGCAGTGATGTGTGTGGGGGGGGGCCAGGGATACACAGACAGCAAGGTGATGTCTTAAGCATCTGTTTATTTTTTCAAAATAGGTGAAGTAGGCTAAAAATTAGGGTGTCAGTTATATTCATCTGGCTAAGGACAGGGACCAGTGTTTGGCTTTTGTGAACCTGTGAGTTCCATAAGGAGTAGAAGCAACATTCTACCCTGCTCTTCAGGTAAGGCCACACTGGTGTTCCCTTGGACCTCAGAATTCAAATGAAGTCAATTTCCATTCCCACATTCTCTCATATCTTCCCAGCATTGACCATGCAAAGAACACAAAGCAACACTAGATACACACAAACAAGAGAGCGGCACATCCCATGAGACAGACAGCCGTAATACAGAAGATAGGAGGAAAATATCCTATGTCATCAAAATTAATGATTAGAACAGCAGTGTACCTTAACCTTCCAGTGCCGGGCGACGTACATAGCACGTCGGCATTTAAATGCCACATCTCGCCGGGCGACGCTGTCATGCGTCTTGTGCTGCTTTTCATGTAAAGTAATACTTTTGCTATAAAATGAAAGAGGAAATTTCTGTCTATCATTTCGTACATTCGTTATCCCACTTTGAACTTCCCGGGGTATTTTTTTTTTACATTAGAAGTCTCTGAAGAAGTTCCGTAGCTTGCCGTCTAGGTTGCAGTATTGCCATACAAATCTCTCTCCATCTCTTGGAGAGTTAGGAACTAAATATGCTAGGTTTATAGTCTGTGACCTCCTTGCGTGTTGGTTGAAGGAAAGTCTGTGATCTCTCTGCGTGTTGGTCGATAAAAAAATCGATTTCCATTCACCAGTGACGAGTGCTGCTTCTTGAACGGAATGAGAAACCACGTGTAGAAAACCTAACAAGAA